TTCTGGTCCTTTTAAGGGACAAAAAGCCATAGTTCCATCCTGATGTAATCTTCTTCTAGCAGTGTCTTCAGAAATTTTGACACCTCGAACTTCCTGGAGCTGATGAATCGCTTAAACAACAGTAAGGTGCCGGTTTCGCTATATTCTCAAAGTCAATAAAGGTCGTCTTGTTTCTTTGGTAGGACCCAGTTTCTCGAAAATGTCTAACGGCGTCTCGCTGAGTTTCGTAGGGAACTTTAGAAATAGACATACGTGATGGACGACCATCATCAATAAGTGCCACACCACGCGCAACATCCTCAGCATTAAATGACATTTTTAAGTTTAAAAATTGAAATTGAAAAAATTAAGATACTAAACACTTTATTGCTTCAGTATTCAAATGAGACTAAATATTTTAAATAAAAAGTGAACCTTGAAAAATCCTTTATCCCTGTTTTGGATTAAGGATTATGTGTGCTTACCTATAATTGATATTCCCAATTTAAAACATAGCATACGCAAATATTTATTGATAAAAACAATGAGACAAATTAAGGGCAGAATTTTCTTGTATCGAGAAAATGAAAAAAAATCAATTGGGTGGAAGTTTTTTTCTGTCAGTGTGTTTACAATTATCAAGAATGTTTAATCAAAAAAGCGAAATCCAAGATCTCTATTGATTTATTTTTGAGTATATTTTTATCCTGACGTAGTGTTCGTATTATACTTAATCAATTTTCACTTAATATTCTGATTTCTACCTAAGAAGGCACACGCCTAGGATAGGAGGATAGACAGAAGATACACTGTGCAGATACACCCAGGAAGAAGAGGCGACCGCAGAACACGTTTTTATGAGGGACAACGAAAGTAGATAGATTCATGCAAATTGGAGAGGAAAAGCCACAAGCAATATCCTACAATAAGGAGCCCATGGCAAGGCTATGAAGGTTGATCAACAAGGTGGCCAGTAAATTATAAGAAATATAGTTATTCAGATATCGTGAGATGCGGTAGGGTGTTATGTAGGTTTCAGAAAAACATTTTCTTTATCGTGTTTTTCTGAAACCTACATAACACCCGACCGCATCTAACGATATCTGAATAACTATCGATTAACGGTCACTAATCTCTACACATAAAAAATATAGTAGTATGATAGATACAATCTACTCCGGTAGGGATGCAGAAGGTCTTGAGGACACCTCAATTATCGTAGATCTCTACTACTATCGCACACACACAAGAAAAGTGACAACCCAAAATCAAATACTTTATAGGAGAGATAGATGGAAGTTTACTTTTTTTGTATATGTATTAAGTACTCGCCATTAAAGTTGCTGGCTATAAAAACAGTGTTGATACATCTATGTTGTCTTTCATTTGTCCAACACCAAGGGTAAATACAATAGTTTTAAAATTCCAGCTGTACTATCTTTAAAAACTACCCCTTTTTAGTTACTTCACTTTTCTTGCATATATTCGCTCTCGGTATTTTAAGTTAGGTCGTTTGCTCTAACAATAATAGTGGTCAATGAATGACTATAAGCGCATTAATTTATTTTTGATAGTAACTGACAACAGAAAAACAAACGAGAATAAACATCCACGTAGTAAGTTTGACTAAGATTATTTTTGACTCAAATGGACTTTCCTCCTGGATTCAGGACTATGTAGTTATTTAAAATACAAAGTTAATTATTGAAGTTTATTGATTACTAAAAGTTATTATTTGGAGATCATGAGGAGTGATGATCTCCAAATAATCATCAACAAACGGCTACTAAACACCACATACTAAAAATAATATACATATGGATGAAAAAATCGTTTATACTATAAAACAATGTAAAAGTAAAAAGTTAAATTGTTAAAAATTAAGAAAAACAATATTTTATTTAAGAATGCTATTGGAATAAAAGAAATGAAACTAAAATAATTCACGAACACACTAGATCAAGGTATAGTTTTAAAGACAAGACCACATTTAGTTGTTACTGCCAAGCTTTCGGCCTATTTTAACATCATCATCAGGGCCTATATTAATTTCCAATTACGAAAAACATATTTGTGTAATTGATTTATCAATTGTTTTCATAATGTGAAAATGTGACTCCACTACAGTATAACTTCCTTCACTAAACAAAAAGAAAAAAACTGACGTAACTCGAAACGTGCCACTTTTCCTGTAAATACTCACGCAGATGCTTTCGACATAGAACTAAGGTATGGCACTTTTCGTGATTGGTGCCAGTACGTTCTCGCCAATTCAAAAGTGACACATAGTGCCGCCTAGAAGCTAAGAGTTAACCTTCATTTATGTCACTTTTCCTCTAGCATCACCCTTCTGAATCCTCCAGAAAAATTAAATTCCGGATTTTAGAAATTTTCGACTTGTGTCACTTTTCTTGTGGGTGTGCGAGTATGTTCACTTTAGCACAAAATCTCTTTTAATAAATGCGAGTTTAAATCAAAGCCAAACAGTGTTGTTCATGACAGAAAATCAGCTTGGTCTTCGTAGGTTTTTAAATGGTATTATGTTAGCATTTTTTGAAATTTAAAAATTTAAGGAACATATTGGCCCCTGTATAAAGAGGGCATAAGAAAAAAATTGGGATGCAGACTGGAAATCTTGCTCTGGATGTACCCGTTGATGGTGAAACTCTCAGATATGTCGCAATAGCCAGGGCAGATAAAGCAAAACGAATAATTTAACAAAAAAAACTCACGAAAATAAAAACGTGACCCACAGCCATGTCTGAAGAAAATATTGGAATTAAGCCCCCTCCACCATATTATAAGAGGACAGCCCGGGAAACCGTCTTATCTTAGCGAAACCTCTTACAGGGCTAAAATTTAAAGGAGAGGAGAGGAATAGCCTAATGAAAGAACAAACGATGCTTATAGTCCTCTGAATAAGGATTTGGAGGCTATTGGTAGATTCCGCAGGGAAGAAAAGGACACATCAACACACCTACTAACAAACGGGCTTTGGGATGTACAACCTAACACCCCCCCACAAAAAAAAAAAAAAAAAAAAAATCACAACTGGTCTTATATCTAGTTTGTTGATGAACTAGGACTCACCGGTGTGCTATAAATACAGAACTTCAATGGTGTGCCACTTTCAAAAGGCGCAATATATTACCCACTCTGAACATTACGTCATATATCTCTGTTACGTTTTAGAGCAGGGGTGCTCAAACTTGAACTGCTGGCGATCTACCTCAATATTTTTAGACTACTTACGATCGACTCTGAGAGGCTGCAAGTGTGTGTGAGGCAGGGTTGTCGTACATACACGATACACCCTACCTACCTAGGTAGGGTGTACCGTAGCATATATAGATATTAGCTTTCTGCACAATATAGGTACATTATTTTAGTCAAGGTTTGGGTTAGGTTTAGTTATGTTCTTCTCTACAATATCAATGAAAAAACTCATAGTTATTCAAAATTGCGAGTTTATTGGTTGTTACAAAACAAAAGAGTTACATATGGTGTTAAACTTAACTAAGGAGTGGCTTTGGATGTTGAAGCGTGGCACTGCATGTCCTCAGCATACTTTTCATAAGATGGTACGTAACCACTGAGTGCTAATCGCAAGCATGATGACATATGATCGTCAGTTAGTCGATTGCGATATTTTGACTTAATTATCTTCATTTCAGAAAATGCAGACTCGCACAAGTAAGTTGACCCAAAAAATGCCGTCAGTTGAAGGGCGATTTGCCTTACATTCGGATATTTATCTTCAGATATAAAACACCAGAAATTTGTATCAGATACTGTAGCTTTGAGATGTATATCTGATATAATCTGCACCAACTCATTTTCAACAGAACATGAGTTCATATTAAACTGACTTGCTATTTCAGTAGCTAATTCCTCAATGTTTTTACATGAAAAAGGATAACTCATAAATGATGCTATATTTTCCAATTTACTGCAATCATAAAAACGCATTTCGAATTGTCCCAAAATATTTGATAATTCAGCCTCATACGTATCATAATTCGACTGAGGAATCCTTGCTTTCAAAGACGGAAAATGTTTCAGATCCTTTCTTTTCAGTTGATCTATCATAAGTTGCAATTTACTTTTGAATGCGTTTACTGCGCTAATCATCTCAATAATAGTTTTTCCTTTACCTTGAAGCTCCAAGTTAACGGTGTTTAAGTGCATTGTGATGTCAGTCAAAAATGCCAAATCAGTCAGCCATTTTGCCACCTTTTGCCGCAAGCAGTGTTATTTTATTACGTAATACATTTTTGTAGTTTAGTTACCTACCTACTTATTAAAAATTTTTTTCTTCTCGAGATCTACTCAAAAAGCACTCGCGATCGACTGGTCAGTTCTACCCCTATCGCTGATATTTTGAATTTATTACAAAAACTACCTACTAAAAAATTACTATTATTAAAAATGAGTTTGATCAAACCCAACCAATGTTGTACAAGACGTCAATCATCTAGATCATTTTATTTTTTCAATTTTTTTTTAAACAGGTCAGAGAAAAAGTCATAAAAAGCTCATTTAAAGCTGTTTGGATTTGAATTCAGGGCTTCTAAAATTCTTTGTATGCTAATTGTCTTTCTCGTGTGTATCCAGTGCATTATTTATGATCAAAAATAAGTTACAACTAAAGTGGGAAAACAAAAATAGTGAGATATCTGTCTCAGTCTGTCAATAAAAGAGTCAAGTCAGGTTGTTAGGTAACTGGATACTAAGTTTGATAGAAGGGTTGAATACTTGGGAGTACTTCGACTTGAACAAAATTGGATAGGCGACGGGAGGGTAGTAAATTTCCGATTAGGGGTGGAGCGAGTCTGTCAAAAAGAATAAACGTCCGGAACGCTAAAACTGTTACAAGTTGTTCAACGGCAGAGGATAGTGTGTCGGTTGGGCAACTCGCGTGACCTGATTAAACTCAACTTCCTTAATGGGATAGAATCACTTTTGTCGAAGTTCCTTGATTCGTTTTCACCGGCTGGGAGGAAAAAATGTGGGCTACTTACGTTCGGGGCAGGTTCTCCGTGTACGATGCATACCAGTTGCGCTTCGTACCCCTCTCCTGAATGAACCCAACTCCTCTCCACCTCTATCTCGGGCGGGTCTGAAAAATAACAGTAAACACTTTATACTCTTGTCCTATTTTTTATGTTGGTCAAATATGTAAACGATAACAAAGAATACTATCAAAACAACTCGTCTCGTGGATATATAACAAATAATATGTAAATTTGGACAATTAATTGTTATATTTTCCCGGCTTATCTTTCTGCATGAACCACACCCTCCAAAACCTTCGCTATGTAAGATGATACTGTAATCAGAAATTTTAACAACTTGCACGAGATGTTTGTAGTTCGTGAATACAAAATACACGTTATTTTACAAAATATATCATAAATTGATTAATTACCGTTTTGTTGATGTTATTAATATAATGTTGGTTAATTTGACACCGCACAGTAGAGACAGTGAATAAGATTTATGAGAAAATGTCAAAAATCATTTACAGAAAGCAAATGTTATTAATTGTCGATTAAAATCTTACTTATTTACCTATTGTATTTAATGCGTTTCTAATACAGAACAATGTCATTTTTTCTTGAATGTTTGAAATGCAATAATTTACAATGCCCGCTGCGCTACCTAATTGAAAAATTAGATAGAAAGTACCTACTTCAATTATATTGGAACTACTTTAAATTATTATGAAATGCATCAAATATTGAACACTAAACAGCTCTAATTCAAGTGATTCTTTGCAAATACTATTAAAATTCATGCAGTAAACCTCGCTTTTACTCATATCTGCTTTCAGCTGACATCTGACCTCTCATCCAATTTTCAAACCACTTCTTCAATCTTAACAGGCAATCCTTTAAAGTAACTCTATGATCACTCAGGAATGCCTCACACTACTCGAGTGTTGGTGTGAAAACATGGATCATATTTAATCCAAAAAACTCAATCAAACAACCCTTCCAACTGTGGAAAAGCTGCGGTATGTTGAACTAGATATTGGCAATCATTGAAGAAATCCTAATATACGACTGACACGACAAGTAGTTTAGAAACGCTACAGAGCTCTTTTACGACTTCTAGATAATTTCTCTCTTTAACAAAAGGCTACTTTATAAGCAAAACCTTGAAATGTGGATGTCTGCCAAACATCCCAATACCTTCCGCATCCAAGGAGCCAAATCTATAATCCTCAGAAAAATCTGTGATGCTCCCCTTTATGTGTCCAACGAATCCCATGCACACATAAATATGACTTTGGTCCAAGGTGCAATGTATTCTCATTACAGCCTAATTCCCACAAACCTCCCAACCACCATAAATATTAAAATACAGAAACATTAATACCAACGAATTCTTTGAAAACCCCTTGACGCATAAAGACAGGATGGCCGCAGAATCTCCTTTTCAGTGATAGTGAAATTAACTTCAATTAAATTCAGAACAGTGAAGACCCATTAGTGTACTACCTATTTAAATTTAGTAAATTCTTCACTATTGTTTATTTAATTTATTTTATACATCCATTGTTTTTGTTTGCAAATAAAGATAGTTATAATAGTTATTGTTAATTACGTGGGCACCCTCAACACGACCCGCAAGAATGGCACAATTACACAGAAGACAAACACTTTGAGCCCGGAAGATGATCTCAATAAAGATCGAAACGTTTGCACGATAAAGAAAATGTTTTTCTGAAACCTACATCATACCAGACCGCATCTCACGATTTCTGAATAATTGTTAATTACAAAAAATTGGAAGTAATTTTAAAGAAATCATACAACTTTTCAATTTACGATTTATTGCTAAGCAAAAGATTTTATAGATTTTTCCCAGTTTCTCGCACATTGGCACAATGGAAAAAATATCAACAGCCGATCTTATTTTTTTGCGATTATCCAAACAAAAAAATAAAAGCTTTTCAATCCCAGTTATTTGCAAAAGGGATGGGAAATATCCTATTAGTCATGTAAACAATTAAAATCAGATGCTATGTGAAAATATTTGAAATAAAGTTTTTTTAAGACTGAGCACATGTTGGGTTTTCAAACCAGATTTAAATTATTTTACTTTTTTGCTCTTTAAGTTCAATAGTAAGCATTATGGGTTTTTTCTGGATTGTTTGAACTCGTACAATAAAGTACTGACCGTAAGAGTAACGTAAACTGCGACAATATTCTGTTATAACTGGTTGAACCGAGCTGTTAATCGCTGTTGGACCTCTTTACCCTCGTTGACCATTGTTTGGGTTCTGTTAATTACCTTCATTACGTTTTACTTACACGTTAATTACCCAGCGTTTTACTTCACAAAATAGTGAAAAACAAATCTTTTTTGTAAAAAGAAATATTTGTGTTTTTGTCCCATTGTGAAACGGCGTAAAGGACCAACACTAATGTAAGACATAGCAGTTGTGCGGGTTTAGCCTATTTTACCTATTTATAATTGTTCCTAGCAAACTAAAATGTTTGCTCCAATGTTATGAACATGGGTATTTATTCTTTTTTTATTTATATTAAAACGATACTTTTTTTAATAAACTCAACCTTTCCTTCTAATATTAATGTTGTACGCTGCAATTAGTCATTAGCATAATTAGTTAAAACTAGTAAGTCCACCATTATTGTTGTATGTCCCAAAAATTGATTTCTTTATAAAACTAACACAAGACACTTCTTTTGTAGCAAACTATTGATAAATTTAACTTCTGTTATCACACGAAGTTTCTATTTTTAAATACAAATAAATGTACTGTAATATCTTTTACTCGTTTTTCGATAGTCTTATATATGCTATTTTAAATTGTTTTTATTCTCTTAATAATACCCAACTCAAAACTGTTGAAGGTAATTAACAGAACCCAAACAATGAAGGCTGTCGGTAAAGAGGTGCCATAGCGATTGTCCATTCAGGTTCAGCCAGTGGTAACAGAAAATTCTCGCAGTGTAAGTTGTTTCTACAGGTCAGTAATGTATTATATAGCGGCAACAATTCACGATAAACCTCAATATCTTGTTTTAAAGACTTGGCAATTTTATTTCATATTTAGAGTTTAAGGAGTACATTGTCAATTTTCAACAGAGAGCCCTTCAAATTTTTGTGTATGCAATAAAAAATACTAGTGAATTTTCTAATTCTTCAATTATATATACAAACTCTAATTTGTCCTATCCTTGAATTTTCTACCGTCGTTTAGAATCCGTATTACTTCTCTAATTCTGAAATTTTTAGTTAAATTTCAATATAAATTTAATATAATCTTTTACTGTCGATTTCCCCTCTGTTCTTTTCCAAAAGGCCACTTTTTCTTTATAATCTTTCAACGGTAGCTGTTAGAAGGCATTTTTTGATTTTTAGTTCTTTATAAAACAGTAAATGATCTAATCGATCGACCTAGCCTCGTGCCTTTAATTTTTTTATGTTCCAGCCCGTCCAACCAGTCATTCTGATTAATTGACCATTTTGTAAAGCAAATTATCTATTTTATTCTTCTATAGTTCGATTAATGAGAGAAGAAAACAAAATTTGGCGAAATATTGATTTTTTAAAATTAACTTTTATTACCTTTAAAGACAAAATACGGACTGAGATGATTTAGCTTTTAAGTAGATCAGGTTTTATAAAACAATGTTTTTTTATATATAAAAAAACACGGTCTTTTAATTGCACGTGGTGAATTTTATTATAAAAATAAGTATGATTAGTGAGTTGGAATTTTTTCTATTTACTTAATGGGTAATTTTGATGGTGATTTAAATTTGTTTATTCCTTCCACGTGATTTGTATTATAATGTTTTTATTAACATTAAATGTTCTTTTGTTCGTATGCATGTAAATAAATAAATAAATAAGACTTGGTTTGATTGATAGAATATTATCAAAAAACCCGCCGGTTTTAACATCTCAACAATTACTTTTACGAATTAATTTTTCACAATTAGATTTTCCTAGTAAAGATTACTGAAATGGTTGATAATAAAATTTAAGGTTTGCCTTTAAAACATAATAGAACACTTCAGAAAAATGACACTCTAATGAATTGATTTAAAACGAATGAAATATTTAATAGTCAATTTTAGGTTACCTGGAATCAAAAGTAAACAGCCATGAAAAAATTCGCTATTTTGGAAAAGTAAACTTACATCTTTTTTTCAGCAGTGGTTTTACAAATAAGCATAATTATATGTAACAACTAAGGCCAATATGAAAACTAAAACATAATCAAACTATAGATCCAACATCTCTTTCAAATGTGAGATTGAAATCAGTGACCTTCTAGGCAAAAAACTAGACATTTTTCAGCCAAAAAAATATTCCATTACCTAGTCTTGTTGAAGAGTTATAATTAAAGACAGAGTAGATTGTAAATACGCCTGCCCAAGGGCAAACAACGAGGGACGACCGCACCAGATATGGTCTGTAATGATCAATCTGCTGACACAGTAGAAACGGTCCGAACGAGAGGGAGGAGGCGTACATTTATAATTGAGTTATGGAAATTAATCCAACTTTGAGTGAAGTCTGAACAGATTTCGATTTGGCCAATGAAACGCTCTCGTCTCAATTGGGTTTATATTAAGGCGACGTTGGGGACAGTACCGCATTCTATAAGTATAGGCGAATTAAATTTCATAATTAATTTTCTAAGCATTCTGGAAGTTTATCCCTTCAGTAAATATCGCAGTAAAATAATTACATTTTAGACTTCATAGTTGTTTTTATAGAGAAACATTTTCTTAAACAAATTAACAACTTATTTATGTTTTTTTTTAAATCTAAGATTATTGATTCAAAGTGTGCTATGACAGGGTTAAATATTTTTCACCAATTCATACATTTCTTTTATTTGATTAACTGTAATAAGTTCATTAAACCATTGTTGAAACATTTACAAATAATTTTTTACTTTACGTTTTTTTTAAACAATAAATTACAAGGATTCCAAAATAAACCAGGAATTTTCTGTTGTGGATTTATGTCCTGACATTTACTAAATTGATACGGAAATTTTATTGTCTTGTTAATTTTGTTTTTTAGAACAATTAACTTTTCCGATAGAGTGATTCCAGAAATAACACTCGT